CATGACGTCCCCGTAAGGAAGCTGATCCAATAACCGAAAAGGGCTGTCCCCCGTCCTCCGTCAGGGTACTTGTTCGTACACACCCCAGCCTGTCTGCTCCGAACTCCAGAAAAACTGCCAATAATTGAAATTCAAGTGGCAGCCCTGTTTGGCCACTTGAGCTAATGGATTAAGATGCAGGCAGCCGTGGCTCAGTCTCCCCTCCTTCCTCAGTTTCCCTCTCTGTGAAAGCTAGCTGGGTAGAAGTATCTGGCTGGTGAGCAGAAGGTCAACTTGCTAATAAGGCTGAGGTCAGAGGTCAAGCCTCAAAGAAGCTCAGTTCTCTCGGCTTGGTTCCAAGGTCACAGACAGGCCCCCAAAATCCTGCCACCTGGTCATAAAAGAAAGCAGCCAGAGTGTAGACGGATCAAAACAAATCCATCACCACTGGTGGGAACAGCCAATTGGGGGAACAGTGACGGATGGTGATTCAGTAGCATCTTTGATTTGAAAGACGTGACATCAGAAATGACCTCACAGCACCTAATCAGTTCCAGAAAAGGACTTTGTTCTCCGAGAGGCAAGGTGGGAGATCAAAGCATTTCTTGCTAATCATCATTTAGCATTAATTACTTGTTAAGTAACCTGACCCAGACCCAGTACCGCTCCCTACCTCGCATCCTGACAGCCTCAACGAGCACCCTTGATCTTTCAACCCAACCTGCATCAAATTGGGAGCAAGCAGACTGCAAACCTGGGAACGGACAGACCCCGGGCGGCCCAGGCAGTCAGTCGTTCCGTTTTTTCTCCTTTTCCTGTTAACTTTTTAACCCCACCAGCCAGGAAGTGCATACACAGAGCAGCAGGCATCCCCGCCCCCGCCCCTCCACCACACTGCACAGAGTTCCTCAGATCTAGGTATTAACGCCTCTCTAGTCACAAGCTGTGTGGCCTGAGGCATGCCAGTGTCCCTCTCTGAGACCGGGTTTCAACTGCAGGCACAGAGATAACACTATCCACACCACCCAGCCTCCTTGTAAGGATTAAGTAAGATATAAAATAGACCTCTAAAGATTGGTTTATGCATTGTGTAGGAAACCCCAGGGGGGTTGGGCTGTACTGGCAATAATCTATTTCTAGAGCTGAGTGGGGGGCCATGGTATTCATTATTATATTACTTACATCTTCTTGTGACTCTGAAATAATGTATGATAAATGCTACGGGTTGAATTGTGTCCCCCCCTCCCCCCCCCTCACCAAATTCTTATGTTGAAGCCCTAACCCCAGTGCCTCAGAACATGACTACCTGGAGATAAAGTCTTTCAAGAAGTAACTAAGTTAAAATGGGGTCATTAGGGTGGGTCCCAATTCAGCAAGACTGGCGTCCTTATAAGAGGAGATTAGGACACAGGCGCACACACAGAGGGCAGACCACGTGAGGACACAGAGAGACAACAGCTATCACAAGTCCAGGAAAGAATCCCCAGAAGAAACGCATCTTGCCAACTGACTTCTGGCCTCCAGAACAGTGAGAAAATGAACTTCTGTCCTCTAAGCCACACACACAGTTAGTGCAGCCCTTGCAAACTCACACAATAACCTTCAAATGAGTTGTAGAAACCGTAAGCTGAATGAAAAAGAAAAAGACGGTGCTAGTATGGCTCTGATCAAAAAGACGGATAAGGGTGCCTGGGTGGCTCCGTCCGTTGATCGTCTGACTTCTGCTCAGGTCATGATCTCGGGGTTTGTGAGTCTGAGTTCTGCGTCGGGCTCTGTGCTGACAGCTCAGAGCCTGGAGCCTGCTTCAGATTCTGTGTGTGTCTCTCTCTCTCTGTCCCTCCCCCGTTCATGCACTCACGTGCATGCTCTCTCTCTCTCTCAAAAATAAACATTAAAAAGATAAATAATAAAAGTAAAAAAGACAGATAATAAGTGTTGACAAAGATGTGGGTAAATTGAAACGCTCGCACATTGCCGGCAGGAATGTAAAAGGGTGCAGCCACTCTGGAAAATGGTCTGGCCATTCCTCAAAAAGTCAAACAGAGTTACCATGTGACTGGTCAACCCCACTCCGAGGCATCTACCCAAGAGAAATGAAAACATGTGCCCACACCGAAACTTGTGCACAAATGTTCACAGCATCATTATTAACAATAGCCAAAGACAGGGACAGTCCAAAGGTCCAACAGCTGGGGAAGAGATGAACAAAGTGTGGTCTGCACACACAATGGAATATTATTCAGCCATAAAAAGGAATGAGATACTGACAGAGGCTACTGTGTGGGTGAAGCTTAAAAACATTATACCAAGAGAAAAAAGCCAGTCACAAAAGGTCAAGTATTGGATAATTCCATTTACATGAAATGTCCAGAACAGGCAAATCCATAGAGACAGAAGGCAGATTAGTGGTTGTCAGGGACTGGGGGAGGGGAAGACTGAGGGGTTGGGGACTTGCGGCTGATGGGCTTTCTTTCAGAGGGCATGAAAATGTTCTAAAATTAGATTGTGGAGATAGCTGTACGACTCTAAATATACCAAATATACTAAAAAGTGAGTTGTACACTTTAAGTGGGAGCAAATTGTATTTGTTTTATTATTATAAAGTGTTTAAAAAAAAAAAAAAGACCGGTTCCCTCAAAGTACTGTTGTTTTCTTTTTAGTTTGTGAAATCGCAGATGTTCTCTCTTCACTCCCCAACCAGCCCTAAAGGCTCCAGTCTCTCCCCTACCCCCAGATTCAATACCAGCCACGCGACCTTGTGTACAGACCAGCACTTACACACCGATCCTCCACAAAAATCTTAAGATACGGGCTACTCCCCCCAGAAGCCTGCATCCTGTTTCCAGCCCTTTGGAGGAAAAGGGCAAAGGCTTGGATTTTTTTTTTAACGCCTATAAGCCTCGCAGGAGTAAACTGAGGGTCTCACGCACAAAGGACAGAACACATCAGTAATCCTGAAGTGATTTTCCCCAGAGAAACTCATTTGGACCCCTCCATTAATTCTGAGATTACAGTGGGTCGTGGCAAGTTTATTTTTTAAAGGCCCGTGTTCTGTAAACCCTAATCCCCCTCCCGGAGCAATTCCTCAGCTGGGAGGGGAGCAGTCAGTGAGGCAAAGCCACCGTTTCCTCTTCAAGTTCAGAGCAGCCGTGGGGCCTGGCTGGGTTGCTGCAAGGTGCTACGTTTGCAAATACAGTTTGTGGTCTGAGCAATGGCGGTTGTGTTTTTTGGCCACGTAGGGGAAAGTGAACATTAAAACCCCACACACTTCCATGGGTCGGGAAGCAAACGGCAGAAGCTATGAAGGTGAATTTCTACTGCCACCTAAATTCCCAGTAAGCTTCAAAGAGAATCAGAATTCAATACCACAAATAACAGGGACCCTCTTCCTCAGCAATTCCACATTTAGGAATATACCCTAATGAGATAATCAAACAGAAATAGAAAGAATGACCTAGAAGATCACTGTCCAATAGGAATATAGAGCGAGTCACACATGTACTTTTATATATTTTTTTGGAGCTACATTTAAAAAGGCAAAAAGAAAAAGGTGAAATTAACATTAATAATCTATTTTGTTTAACCAAGATATCCAAAATAGTATCGTTTCAACTAGAGTTGCCAGATTTAACAAATAAGAATAGTGGACACCCGGTTAAATTTCAGAGGAACAATGAATAATCTTTTTTACTGTAGGTATATCCCATGTGATAGGTGGGCTATACTTACACTTAAAGTTTTATTTGTTGTTTTCTTGAAATTCAAATTTAAGTGAGCATCCTTTCTAAAATCTGGCAACCCTAATTTCAACATGCAATCAATATAAAAAACAAATTAATGAGTCATTGTATAGTGTTCTTTTTGCTCTATGTCTTTGAAATCTGTTGTGTATGTTATATTTCTGACACTTCTCAATTGTAGCTTGCCATATTTCAAGTGCTCAATAGCCACACAGTAGCAGCTACCATTTTGGACAAAACAGATCTAGAATGTTCCCTTAAATGTTTATTACAACAACAACAACAACAAAAAGCCAGAAATTGGCAAAATACACATCAACAAAGAGGCTGCTTAGATCACAATTAACATTTAAAGAGCACTAACCACTGGTCAATCCTTGTCCAAAGAACTTTGCATGCATTATTTTTTTTTTTTTAATAGTTAACCCGAAACAAATGCAACAATGCATTATCTCATCTCGTGGTCACAACAACCATTTGAAGTAAGTGCTGGTGTAACCGTTTTTTACAGACGAGGAAAGTAAGGGCCCAGGGAGCTTCTATAATGTGCTCAACAAAGTGGTGAGTGAGTGTCACCAGATGGGCTGACACATACATGGTCTACCCCAGCACACACTCTGGAAGAAGACACAACATGTTACTGGTTTTCTCTGGATAGTGGACTTTGAGGCAGACACTACTTAACCGTCTGGTCTCTGCTGGCACAGAGCTGATCACTCCGCCCTTGGCTCTGCCAGGTGCCTTCACTCAGAGTACAGATGCAGAGTACGAGGCAAAGCTACCTGCTCCTGGTAAGTCCTCCGAGACATTACTATCATTGTCCCTAGGGTCTCTGGCCTCTCCTATTTGATTAGACTTTTTCATGGTGAGCATCAATCAGTTTTACAAAGAGAACGAAAGTTACTTTCAAAAGAGTGGAAACAGTCCTTGAAGCAAGCAAGTAGAGGAAAAAGAGAAGGAAGGAAGGGAGGGAAGGAAGGGAGGGAAGGAAGGGAGGGAAGGAAGAAGGGAAAGAAGTCACCTAAGGCAAGGGAAAGGTGAGCCATCACTTCCCCACAGTTTTCTGAGTGGCCACCAGGGGGCACTGCCTGCAGTTTCCACAGCTAAGGAAACTGCTTTGATATAACAAAAACTTGCAATAGACAAAACACCAAAAACATTCACCTTAACTGGGGTGCCCTCTGCCAAGGGTCCCCACTGAAAAGCTGCCCACATTCATCTTACAGGAGACGTGAAAGGCAGTGGAAGTGGCCCCCCAGCTGCGGGCGATCTGCGTCTTACCTTTGGAGTCTTCTTTGGCCAAGTGACTACAGGGACCCCAGTGATGGCCAGACTGGGGTCGTCATCTGCATGCTCCTTCAGGACATTCTGTGGCCAAACAAAGGACCCATATTAGCCCAGAGGAGAGGGAAGGTCTCTGAAAGGGTTGAGACCGGACCTAACCCAGTAAAAGACTAACAGGCCTCTGCAGAGTCACCCACCACCCACGCACTCAGTAGAAACCCAGCCACCAGGGTCCCTCAGAGGTCACAAGATGCGCCACATCCCCCTTTCCAAAAAAATGTTTAAAGTGCAAATCACTCACCTCCCTATGACTTCCATGAATGTGTCACTCACTGATCATATTTATATATAACGCCACACATTGTCTACAGCGCCAGGGACTCTCACACACACAACCTCATTCAGTCCTTACCAAGTACCCTGGGAGTGGGCTGGGCAGGGCGCTAAGATACTCTAATGTACAAAAACTCAACTATGTATGCGGAGACACAAAAAACTAACACTAACCAAGAGGTCTTGACACCTGTGAGACCTATTTGCTTCCATGAGCCAAGAGCAAGTCAGGTGGATTCTAACCCTGGTATGTGTAGACATGTCACGGTCTACTACATTACTTGCATAAACACAGGCAGATACTCAGTCTGCCTTGACCAAGGATGGAGTCCATCCATCCTTTGGTCCACAGCCAGTACCAAAGTGGGCTGTGACAGACATACACCCGGGCTGGGCAAGGATTGCCCACATGGCGCTCTGTGTTCACATCTTTGTTGGTGGTTTGAAGGCTTTTCAAAGGCGATTCTGACTCTACCAGATTCCGGCCTTATGTGGTGACTAATTTTAGAACCTCATCCAGGTGTAAGATGCTAGTCCACTGAATTATCCCTAACTTAGAGGCATGGCAATCAGGCCTAGAAAGATCCAAAGGCCTTAGACGCTAACCCAGAACAGGAGGCAGAACCCCTGAACCTCACTTTCTGGCTCCAGACTTCCCACCCTACGATCACTCCACACATAGGTTTTTTGGTTGCATCTGAAACACACCATGAAAAATCCTTTAGAGACAGACACAGATCTGTCACTGGCCTTTTCTGACCTTGACCATTAATTTTTAGATTGTAAAAAAGCATTCCTGCAGGGACATTTAAAAGCAGAGAAAGTTGGGGGCACCTGGGTGGCTCAGTTGGTTAAGGGTCCGGCTTCGGCTCAGGTCATGATCTCATGGTTCGTGGGTTCAAGCCCCGCGTCAGGCTCTGTGCTGACAGCCAGCTCACAGCCTGGGGCCAGTTTCAGATTCTGTGTCTCCCTCTCTCTCTGACCTTCCCCTGCTCACACTGTCTCTCTCAGAAATAAATAAAAACATAAAAAATTTTTAAAAAAAATAAAAGCAGAGAAAGTTGCACAGGAGAACTTAGCAGGAAGAACAGAAGAGCTCAGAAGAGAAATGTAGGGAAAGATTAGTTTAACTCATTTTCCCCATCTACCTATTGGAAATGAATCCAACTCCTAATTTATTCTATCTACTGTCTTAGTTTTCCTCATGATCCTTCAGTTGCCAGACTTTTCAAAATGCATCTGATACCCCAAATCCACCTGCGCCTAATACCTCAAATCTACCTCCTCTGCCTATAGGAGGTGGCAAACAGGGCAGTGATCAACGATCAGACTTGAGGCTGCCTAAGGTCAATTCTCAGCCCCTACAGCCTTCTCCAAGCCCAGCATCAGTGTCACTCATCTATAAGTGCTGGGTTGTTTTTTTTTAATTTTTAAACATTTATTCATTTTTTGAGAGACAGACAGAGTGAGAGCAGGGGAGGGGCAGAAAGAGGGAGAAACATGGAATCCAAAGCAGCTCCAGGTTCCAAGCTGTCAGCAAAGAGCCCGAGACAGGGCTCAAACTCATGAACCGTGAGATCATTACTCAAGTCTAAGTCAGACACTTAATCGACAGAGCCACCCAAGCACCCCCATAAATGCTATTTATAAATGTCTTGTTTCACTGCTATATCCCTAGCCTTGCCCAATGACTTACAGTAACCATTGAGTAAATAACTTAAAAAAATAAATAAAGCTACAAATCCCCAAAGAGGGACTTTCTACAAAATCCCTGACCAGTACTCTTCACATCTGTCAAGGTCAACAAAAAAAAAAAGCCAAAAAAAAAAAAAAATCTGAGAAACCGTCACAGCTGAGAGGAGCCTGAGACATGACAATTACGTAGATAGAGGTATCGTGGGTGGGATCCTGAAACAGATAAAGGGCATTTGGTAAAAAATTGAGGAAATGTGAATAAACTATAGGCTTTAGTTAGTAATAATGTACCAATATTGGTTTTAATTGTAACCAGTGTACTCCGCAGATGTACCATGTTAATAACAGAGGAAACTTGGGGGGTGGGGGGGCTGGCTAGTAAATGGAAACTCTCTATACTATCTGCTGAGTTTTTGTGTCAATCTGACACCATTCTGAAACATAAAGTTCTATCATAAAAACAATCTTTAAAATGCCAGTCAGACAGTAGTTAACAGCTACCTTAAAGGAAAACAGGGTAATTAGGCCGCCAACCTTTCTAACATGTATGCAGAGTATTTAAAAAGAAATACAACAGGGGCACCAGGCTGGCTGCCAGCAAAACAAGCAACTCTTGTAAGTTCGAACCTCATGCTGGGTATAGAGATTACTTAAAAATAAAATCTTAAAAGAAAGAAAGAAATACAGGCTGCCTGGGTGGCTCAGTCGGTTAAGCGTCTGACTTCAGCTCAGGTCATGATCTCTGGGTCTGTGAGTTCAAGCCCCGCGTTGGGCTCTGTGCTGACAGCTCGGAGCCTGGAGCCTGTTTCAGATTCTGTGTCTCCCTCTCTCTCTTACCCTCCCTTGATCACTCTGTGTCTCTCTCTCAGAAATAAATAAAACATTTTTAAAAATTTAAAAATATTGCCAGTTCCCAATGATAATAAAAAGCAACCCAATTTTTTAAAATTAGTTTTCGTTTTTAATTAAATGGACCGCAGACCCTGCACCCTTTCATACACGCACCCTAGTGGGTCATTCCCACTGCCCCTTCCTGCCTTGGTCCGCCGCTTGGGGTCAGTGGGACTGGCTAGGTGAGGGATGAAATGGAAACATCGGGAGGCAGGCACCACACATTTTGCTGAATGGATGTGGGAGAATAAGATGTACTGCGTGTCTGCTCTGTGTTGGGCACTGTCATCAACATGCCCTATCCACTCGCTCATCCAAGCCTCTTGACCACACTGTGAGATGGACCACCATCATTCCCAGATGAGAATCCCAGGGCTCAGGGGGTGAAGGAACTGTCCAAGACCACTCAGCCACTAAGAGGTGGAGGCCCCTCCACTCTACAACCTGTTCTCTGACCATGGTATTTCTCAACCTATCCTTAAAAAAAAAAAAGAGGGCAGCCACGTTCCCAGCTGCATTATTCACAACAGCCAAAGGACACTTGGAAACAACCCAAGTCTCCCATCAAAAGATGGATGAATAAATAATACACGGTCTATCCACACCATGGAATATTATTCAGACTGAAAAAAGGAAGGAAATTGTGACACATGCCACAATATGGATGGACCTGGAGGACATTCTGCTGAGTGAAATAAGCCAGACACAAAAAGCCAAACAGCGCATAATCCCAGTTCCATGAGGTGCCTAAAGTAGTCAAACTCATACAAGCATAAAATAGAGTGGTGGCTGCCAGGCTCTAGAAGCAGGGAGTCGCTTAATGCAGTCGTGATGTCTCCACAGCAGTGTGAATGTACTTAATGCCACTGAACTTGACACTATAAAAAATGATTAAAATGGTAAATTTTATTATGTATAATTTACCACAATTTTTAATTTTTTACAATCTTATTTTTATTTAAGTAATCTCTACATCCAACATGGGGCTCGAACTCACAACCCCAAGATTTAAGAGTTGCCCACTCTTCCAATTGAGCCAGCCAGGCGCACTCCACCAAATGTTTTTCTTCCTAAACGTTTATTTATTTATAAGAGAGGGAGAGCAGGGGACAGAGGACCCAAAGCAGGCACAGGCTTCATGCTGTTGAATGTGGGGCTTGAACCTACAAAGTGTGAGATCATGACCTGAGCCGAAGTCAGGCGCTTAACTGACTGAGCCACCCAGGCACCCCACGATTTTTTTAAAAGGAGAGGAGAGAATGGGGAAAAGCAGCCCCTCCCTAAGGAATGGATTCAGAGGTTCTAGAAAGTACACATAGGGGACCTAGTATCTTGCTAGTTAAGCTGTTACTATTATGCCTGCAACAACACTGGTTCTAGGGTCACAAGATCTGGGTTCAAGTTCTACAACATCAGACTGTGTGACCTTGAGGAAGCCACAGCTTAGAACAGTGATATCTAACCTTGATTTTATGCCATGAAGCTAGATGTGGCTTTGCTACCATTCTTAAGAGCATTTGTTGAGTGCTTGCTCTAGACTAATCTTCTCTGTGGGATAGGGCTGATCCTCTCCATTTCACAAAAGCAGAAACTGAAGTTCAGAGAGATCAAGTGACTTGCCCAAGGTCACACATTTGGGAGGCAGTAGAATCTGATACGGACCAGGCCCATCTAACTACAAGCCCGGGTAGTAATAGTGGTGATAAAGACTCAGAAAACCATTCCAGCAACCTCTAGAGCTGACCTATACCTCATTCTTGAAAAATGTAACACCTAGGATACAATCTGGGCTCATATTCACCATTCAATTAACAAATACAGAAGTGAGTCATCCTTGCCTATTCCTTGCAAGTTAAGACCAAGAACGAATTCAGCCACTAACTCCTCTACAAAGCGTTTTTCAAACTTTGCCCCAATCACAGCAGAGGCAAGGATGCCCATTGTGGGTCCACACAAGCACAGAATTTCATGGTTCTTAATAATCCTATGAGGGATGCCTGGGTGGCTGAGTCAGTTGAGCCTCCTCAGGTCATGATCTCATGGTTTATGGGGTCAAGCCCTGCATTGGGCTCTGAGCTGACAGCACGGAGCCTGCTTGGGATTCTCTCCCTCTCCCTCTGCCCCTCTCACGCACATGCATGCTCTCTCCTTCAAAATAAAGAAAT